TATTGCTCCTCCCCTACACTGTACCCATCTCCTGTACCCCTCTACTGCTCCCCTCTACACTGAAGCCATCCCCAGGCCCCTGCTCTACAGTTTTCTATACTGTACCCATCCCCAATCTCTCCCTATACTGCTCCCCTCTATATGTACCCATCCCCTGGCCCCTGCTGTAGAGTTTCCTATAGTGTACCCATCCCTGGGGTGATGCTATACTGTTCCTCCTCTATACCATACCCCTCTCCTGTACCCATCTTCAGTCCTCACTATACAGCTTTCTATAGTGCCCACCCCCCTATACTGTACTCATCTCCTGTACCCCAACCTACTGCTCCCCTCTGTGCTGCAACTATCCCCATTCCCCTGCTATACAGCTTTCTATACTGACCCCATCCCCTATCCCTATCATGCTCCCCTCTATACTGTACCTGCTCCCTGTCCCCTGCTACACATTTTCTGCACCCACCCAGAGCCTCCACTCCCTTGTCCCCCTCCCCACTGTCCCCATCACCTGACCCTCCTGTAGTTTTTTATACTGTACCTATCCCTGGGCCCCTGCTACACTGCTCCCCCTCTATACCATCCCCATCCCCTGTACCCCATGCTCCCCTCTCTGCTGTACCCATCTGCATATACAGTTTTGTACACTGCACCTACCCCCTGTCCCCCACTATCCTGCTCCCCCTCTACACAGCACTCATCCCCACTCTCCTGCAATAGTTTTTCCTATACTGCACCAACACCCTGCTATCCTGCTCACCCCCTATACTCACCCATCCCCTGTGCCCCACTCTACTCTTCCCCTCTACACTTCACCCATCCCCACTCCCCTGCTATGCAGCTTTCTATGCTGCACCCATCCCCAGGTTCCCACTATCCTGCTCCCTTCAATCCTGCACCCATCCCCTGTACCCCCCTCTCCTCCTCCCCTCTATACTGTACCCATCTCCAGTCCCCTGTTATAGTTTATCTGTACTGTAGCTGTCCTCTGTCCCCCACTATTCTGCTCCCTTCTATACCATACCCATTCCCAGGACCTCACTACACTGCTCCCCTCTACACTGTACCCACTCCCAGTCCCCTGATATGGTTTTCTACTCTGTACCCATCCCCAGGCCCCTGCTACACAATTTTCTATACTGTACCCATTCCCTGTACCCCAATCTACCAC